ACAACCGCCCGTTGGATGAAGCAGTGATTGGCGTACTCAACCCAAACAAAATTTCTACTTCAAGGACACTGGTGGCAGGAGCAACGGGTGAAGGTACCGCTCGTCCCGATAAAGCACATGGTGATGGCAGCACTGATTGCGGAAGCGGACTGTTGCCACCGCTGCTCCTTCTGTTGGGACTGTGGGGGTTTGCGGCTCTGTGAGGAGTGACTGGCTGCCACGTGGGACACTTGCGCCCTCCCCACCACCGACAAAGACACACACCTGGCAATGAATTTCTCTTTTCTAAATAACATTTATTAACTTTTTTCCCTGTTTGCTTTTTTGTGCGTTTTAAATCTTTTGTTGTGTTTGCGACTGTGTGTCTTTTTTTCAAAATTCTTTTCTTTCTTTAAAATTTGTTTTTATTTCCCATTCCCCCATCCCACTTTTTTGCTTTTGGGGGCAATCACTATGGACGTTTTTTTCTTTTCTACTCTTCCCTCTTTAATTGTTTCTTCTGCACTCTTCCTGTGAGGGGTGCCGTGTGTTTCCCGCCCAACTGCTCCACTCGCACACCCACCGACACGCTCATGACGACGGCCCTGTGCGCCTCGCCTGCTGCACGCATGAGGAGGGGCCGCGACGAACGGCGCGCTGAAGGAGCCGTGACGTGTGGGCGTGCGACGAGGGCCTGTGGGGCGGAGCACACATTTCTTTCCCTCTTGTTTTGTTTTTTTTGCGGCCAGGGCGGGCAGACACCCGCAGCGCCACACACACACAGCCACACCCTGCCGCCGTGTTTTTCTTTTTTGCTTTTCGTGTTTATTTCACGCGCTGGCAGTCCCGTCAGCACTTCTCTCCCTCCTGTTGATTTTTCTTTTCTTTTGCTGCGCTCACTCTCCCGATGGAGAGACGCGACTCCCGTCATGTCTGCGTGCTTCTCTCAGTCCCCACACACACGAGTGACTGTGCTCTGCAGGCCGCACTCGCACGCCGATGGGAGGGCTGAGGGGAGCAGCAACACGCAGATGACCCCGTGAAATATAAACGATGTGCGGACACATGGAGGGTCAGACGGTCGAAACACACGCAACCATCTTTTCAATTTTCTTTTGCGGGCAAAATATGTACAGACAGTTTGGTGTGGCCACACGGCAGCCAGGCGATTTTTAAATTTGTGTGGAGCAGTAATGGACGATTTCTTTTTCATTTATAATTATTTTGTGTGATGGGGTTTATATAAGACGAAGGGGGACGTTTTTTTGTTTTTGTTTTAAATAAATTTTGTGTGAATTGCCACTGCCTGGGCTGCAGTGCAGTCATGAGTTTGAGCGGTCTTCTTGTTGTTTCCGCCATGCGTCTCTGCTGCACATTTTTGTTGTGCGTCTCTCCACATACTCTGCTCCCTCTTTTTTACTTCTTTATTGCTTTGTGTTTCTGCAGGCACACACAACCACACACACACACACACAAGATGCACATTGCAGTGGATTTGAATGCTCCTTTTGTGGTGCATGCTGGCAGTTGCTTGTGGCGGCTGTTGTCTTCTTCCGTGGCTATGATGAGAAGGGAGGAGAGGGAGTGCGCAGCCCGAGTCTCTTTTCCTGCGGGTGTGGTGCACCGCGTGTGACTGCGTTGAGTTGGGCTCCGTGTCCCATTGAGGGCGGGATGGCTGGAAATTTTGGTGGCGCGTCATGGATGGATGAGGGTTTGCTTGCGCTTGTGGCTGGTGTGGTGGCCGCGGGTTTTTGACATTTCTCTGGGGCTGTAGCGATGAGCTGGGGGAGATGGTGGTGGATGTCTTCTCCTCCTGCATGGTGGGTGGCTGCTGGCGTTGTGTGCCTTCGTTGCGTGGATGCCGTCTCGTGGTGTGTGAACTGTGCGGCTGGGCCTGCTGCCCTCTCCTCATGTTGTCTGCTCTCTTCCTCGCTGTATCCGCTGCGCTCCGTCCTTCTCCCTCCTGTTCCATTCCTTTTCCTTCTGGCTCACGGATCGACTCACTGACTGCAGCGACTCCACTGCGGGTGACGATGACTGCGATGATGACGATGCGGCTCCGTGTGGTGTGCGCCGTGCAGGTCCTTGCGCTCTCGTGCTGCTGCTGCACGTCCGTGTGCGTGACGGCGTGAGGAGGCGATAATAATGATGACAGCAGTCATCTCAACCCTAA